AATGATTTAAAATAGGGAGGAGGATCGACAGGTGTTTTTAGATGTGAAAGTAATGTTTGTTTCATTTATTGCATGTATTTCAAATGCAGTTTTGTCAAAATGGAGAGCCTCCATTGAATTTGAGAAGAGGGGGGTTGAGAATGTGGTCTGGGTTATGATTTTTTTAATGATTATTTCATATACACATTTTCACAGGGTAGTCCCTACTAGTTTATGTCACAGTGTGTGTGTGTTTCAAATAGCATGATGAGGACTTCGGGTCATGCTTTGGGATTAAATACTTCAGGACAATCCCTGCCAGACAGACAGGGGGCTTGTGTTTTAATTTCAGCTTTGATACTAACCAGCTATGTGCGTTTTGGCAAATCGCTTAACTACTCTATGCTTTGGTTCCTTCAAATTTGAGTTAGGTGACCCTTAGACACCTTCTAGGACTAAATATAACTTTCAGTTCACTACCTTTTAAAGCTTTATTCTTAGTACTAAATCCTAATTAATGATTTATGTATATTTCTAAAACCTTAAAAAAATACTCCATGAGTTTGCTTAGAGAAGGGAGTAGGATCAAAACAAGGGTGGTAGGAATTGTATGGGGACTAACTAAGATGAAAATGCATATATTGTGCAAAAATGAAAAATGATGTAAGAAATATATAAAATAAAAATAAATAAATAAAATAACAGAAATATTTTACTTACCAAGGGTTCTCGGGGTTTGATTACTTAGCAAGGCTGTGAGCCCAGGAGTATAGAATGCTAATGCTGCCTTTACATTGTCATGCTGTCAAATTGCCTCTGGATAAGATAGGATGAAGAGGATCAAAGGGTGAAGCCACAACACCCCTGAGTTCCTACAAGTAGGGTAAGAAGAGGTGTAATTGTATCTACCCAGATTTAGGATAGCATCCATGTTTCTGCTCAATCTAGGAAATCCAATTTTTCCTTCAGTGGCAACACAGAAAATGTAGTACATGTTATAAGAATAGACTCAGATTAACCTGTTCAGCCAGTTCTGGGTTATCAAGTAAATTTGATCACCAGCAATGGTCACTATTGAATGCATATGATAAAACCTATTTATCTCAAAGAGAATTTTGATCAAGTGCATAATAAAGGAGCAATGATTTTCTGCAAATAGCAGTAGAACTTCTAGGAGAAAAAAAAATGAAATTTTAACATGGGCCAGTTTAGAGTAACAACAGTCAAAGTTTAGAAACAAAGTTACAGAACATGGACAAGGTTGACTCTAGAACAGAACAAAATGGAAATATATCTTCTACCATCCTTAATGAAGTAGAACCAGATTTTGATATTTGAACTCATGGTGAAGCTGCTGACGTCTGTTACATATAGACAATCAAATCAATATTATATACTATGCACACAGTTATCATTCCAAAGGAAAGTTTTAATTATTTGTAGCATATGCATATATCATTTTCATAAAATTTTGAAGTATAAAATACCCTCCAAAGTTAAGACTACACATGGATTTCTGATTGAGGAGAGTCCTACCTGTCTATTTTAATTAAAATTCCCATATCCAAGATAATGAGTGGGTAAAACCAATTAAGCAGCTCTGGTCCTTATACATTGCTTGCTTAGTAAGTCACAGCCCTGTCTGGGTGTGCTTGCATTTTTTAAAATAACACACTGTTGTTTAATGTACAGATAATTGAATATCTCTACTACCTTTCAGTCCAACCCCATTAGTGGGAGATACTGATAAGCAGTTCAATCTCCATCTGTTCCAGCTTACTTTTACAGCTATATGATAGATAAAAAGCTCTAACCATATGTCCCAGATTTCCTCAGGGCTAGCATGTAATAGGGATCCCCCAAGCAGATCCAACTGGATGAACCTTAAAGATGAAAACAAACAACAAAGTGTCAGCAGCATGAAAGGATGGCTCTTGAAAGAAATTTGGTGGCTTTCTTTAGAGATTTTGGCACCTAGACCTTAAAGTAATATCTGCCAACTAAACAGATAGTAACAGCAAAGGTGTTTCTTTTTGGACAGTTTGGTCTTGTGTATGGGTTCTCTCCAGTTACATCATCCATGACTGCGTTGTTCTCTACTTAAACTTCAAAGAACTGATGCTGAGAATGCAAAACCTTCCTTATCTCTCCTTGCTGAACCTCCACCCTGTAGTACTGCTAACCATAACCACTTCCTTCATTTTCTCATTTTATTTTGGTTGAACAAAGCATTTAAAAAAGATAATCTCTTACTTGTGAACATCTAGAGAAAACTTTAAATAGGGAGATGAAGACAAGATTCCACTGAAACTATAAATTTAAACTATAAATTTAAACTATAAAGGAATATGGAAAAAAACATTAGAAATTTTTCTTCAAAATAATACAAAGGGCTAACTGATAAAAAAATTTTATATTTTGTAAAAATCTACATACATTGGAATCACAAAAAGTCTACTATAATAATCACCAAACTGATGAAACCATGAAATTATTTAATGTTGTTTCTTGAAGCATTCAAACTTTTCAAGTTGAGGCAATGTCCTCCCTACCCACCGCTGACTATGCAGGTGTCTTTCTTTTTCCCTTTCTTCTTTTTAATAAGCCTGTCCTTTTAAAATGTCAAAAAAACACACAAAAAAATAAATAAATTCTTTTCAAGTTTAATAATTAGCTTTTGCTTTTGTGGTCTCCCCGCCCCCCCTTTTCTAGTGTACCTATGGATAACAAATACAAGATTTAGCAAGCTAGAGATTTTTCACATGGAAGAAGAAAAATGTTCTTGTCAACTGGAAGAGGTGAAATTTCCCTTAGCTCTAATTCTGGTCTTCTGTAATGTTCTGCTCTTAATCTTATCCATTCAAGCAATCTCCCTGGCTTGGTTGCACTCAGTTTGACTTTTTCATATAATTTTCTGGGGCTGCATAAGCTTTCAAATATAACACTTTCTATTTTTTTTAATTCTGTTTCAAACACTTTTCAAAAATAACAAAAAATGTTCCCATACTACCTACAGGAGATTCTGAATTCAAGCAAAAAAGTGATGAGTACAAGACAGAGTGAAAGAAGGAAAATGAATAACAAGAAGAAGCTAACTGAATAGTCCCAGATAGTTCAGTGATTCAGATATATTTCATTTTCTCAACAACCATGTAAAGAGCCAAATAACTTCCTTAGATTTGTTATCATGTCACAGACAAGACTAGACCCCAGCATTGTCTGTCTCCAGTGGTGACAGTGGTACAGTCACCAGTGGTACTGGTGTCTAAAGCTACTTCCTTTAGATTCACTAGAGCTGTCAGGAACATATTTTGTAAATGTCTATGAATCAGGCAATTGACAAATCCTGTCCTGTATATCTTTCTGTGAATCTTGCCTAATGAGATGGCACCAAGACATTTTGTTAGAGGATATAAAGGTATATATTCACATGCAAATGTGTATATAGGTACACATTCAAATGTAAATTTGGTATACAACAAATGTATATGCTCATTTGGACACAGCAGAGAGTGTTGTCATGTTCTATGTAGAAGGAATATTGGCATTGTGCATCTGCTAATCCTAAGCTAATGAAGTCTACATCTAAGAGTGATCAGGATTTGAGGGGCTGATTCAAGAGATTCATGTGTAGAGAACTTTATGAGTTCAACCTTCTATGTGTAGTCTTCCAGCTTCCAGAAGGGAAATGTCATTTTCCTTTACAAAGGTGATGACTCATGCAGAACCCATAGACAGAGACAGAAACATGTCATGGCATTTTAAATATGGCAATTTGATAATTGAGTCATGCCTTCAGAAAATTCCATTATGAGCATCATCTTGGTGATCAGCACAGTGGATAAAGTCATCATTATATGCAACTTCTATATGAGGCTAATTTTCTGAAATTATGATTAATATGGATCAGTAACAAGGTGAGCTTTGTCTTTCCTGGATCTCTTACCACAATAGCACCACAATGTTAATTTTCAAAGACTAAAAATTAAAAACAAAGAAATCATTTAGAAATGGGTGTAAGTTCAACCAAAGCTTTGAACTTCTGTGTATCAAAAGGGTAAAGAAAAAAAAAAAACAAAAAACAAGAGAGTCACTCTCTGGTGAGTGCAGACTATGGAAAAAAATTCTCTCTAAAGATGATCATAAAAGACAAATACAGTCTGGTTCCAACTACCTGCATCATGAGGAGAAGTAGGAAAGAAAACACACACACACACACACACACCCCCCAACACATTATATAAAGAAGGAAAGGTATTTAACCCAAGCTTTAAATAGCAAAGTCTTGGGAGGCAAGGCATCTGGAAATACAAAACATATTCTAGCCCAGTAAAGCTTATTAGATTTGTAGCTTTCCTTTCAGCATTCTTTATGTTTTTCATATCTTTTAATGACAGTACCTTGTGACAAGGAGAGAACAGATGGATGAGAGAAAATATAGTAACATTTTAGCTTTCATCTGTGTCTCTTCAGATCAGAGATTAGGTCTCTGATTTCACAGTCTAGGTACTGGTGTCTGCTAAAGGAGTATGAAGAGACAACACCTACACGATATGTACTTGGGTCTTCCTGTTCCCTAAATCTGGAGTGCTCTGAATCTGACTGAACCATTAACAACTACAGACATAAGGGTTATTGTGTAGCTTATCTCCATAAAAGATCTTAGATAAATGATCTCATCTACCCTTCCTTAGTTCACAATCACCTCATTCTTATCCTGTAGATATTGCTTAGATTTTCTGTGTGTCATATTAAATCTATTTCCATTTAGTAATATTTTTATGGCTTATATATCATACACATCATACACTTTGTTAAATATGAATTTGTTATAAGCTAATTTTACAAAAACTGAAAGTAGCTATGTTTTAATTTAAAACACATTTATAACAGTAGAAAAGAAGGAAAATCACCTTACAAAGGTCTACAATATAGATGGCCTAAAAGACTCAAAATCAGTTGCTCATAAAGTTAAAACTTAATCTTTTAATGACAGACTAAGCACTGGTGAAAAAAATGCAGACAAACCTAAGAACAATTTTCCATTTTTATGAAGATTCTTTTCTTTCTCCCCAAGTCTGAGAAAACCCGAGGCAGAATACCACTAATTCAGAGTAGTCCTAGATGCCATGCATCCCCCATCTTGGATATTTCAAAAAGCTGGACCGCTGGAGTAGGTATGCAAGGAAAAAAAAATATCACATTACTTAAGCTCATCCTAGAGTTGAATTCTCAGACACTCATACCTCCTAGAAAGCTTTGAGTTAATATGATATCCTAGAGCAATTTAAAGTATTTTATGTCAAATTTGAAGCAGTCAACTCTCCTGAAGTTGCATCTCCAGAGTTTTTTTTTTTCCTTCCTGAGACCACCATCCCCCTCCTTTGTGGTTCTGAATCTTTAGATTTTTTTTATTTCCTACCATATTTTTCATAACACATAGTTTCAAATTAAATAAAGGGGTTAAAAAGTAAAGGGATCAATAAAAAAAGAGCTGTTGGCTTAGATTAACATATCAATTTTAAGGAGAATATCTCTGCCATGGCAATTTACTTAGTCACATACTATAAATTGACAGCCCGCTCTATATATTCTACAGGATAGAGTACTGAATGAGATATATCAAATCCCTGCACTCATAAAGCATATCTTCAGTGGGGAGGGGGATATAGATAATAAACAAATTAAGGAATATGTGTGGTGTGTGGTAAGTCTGAATGCAATGAAGGATAGAGGCTAGTAAACAGGAATTAGTGTTATTTTAGGAAGGCTGGTCATAGACATTCTTTCTTACAAAGGTTATCTTTATATACAATCCTAAAAGGGATGGGAATAAGAGAGAAGGAGATCTCCAGTAAGGGAACATAAGAAGGTCATTAAAGAAGGGGTGGAGTGAACGAAGAGGAGAACAGCAGGAGATGGGTAGGATTTTAAGGACTTTGATTGAATGATATTGGGAATTCAATGGAGAGTTTGAAGTAGAGAACTGACATGATCTGATTTATGTTTTTCAATAAATTATCCAGTTGCAATGTTGAGGATAACTTGCAATAGGGCAAAGTTTGAAGCAGTGAGAAAATTAGGAGACTGCAGCAAGTGAACTAAGTGAGAGATGATTACTGGACCAAAGTAGAAGAAGTAAAGCAATATAAGATATGGTCAGATTTTTTAAAAAGATTTATTTATTTATATTATACAAGTACTGGGGTACAGGCCAGATGCACAGGAGGGTAAGAGGATTCACCAGAGACAGAGCAGGGAACAGAACAGGCAGACTGACGAAATACATTGCTGAGGGGAGCAGCAGGTGAGACAGGAGAGGTCGACTTCGCCATGTGGGATTCTCGCAGGCCGGGCGTGATCAAACTGGCACTGCAAAGGCTGCGGACAGCTTCACAGCACTGCACTCAACTGCCTGCGCCACCAGGGGAGGCCTGATATGGTCTGATTTTTATGTAGATTTTGAAAGTGAATTGAGAAGATCTTCTGATGAGATACATAGAAAGTAAGAGAGAGAGAGTGTAGTCAAGAGCACACCAAAGAGGCCTGACTTTAGGAAGGATGAACTAAGATGAGAAAACTGGGGAAAAGGTTTGTATGTATATATTTGGGGTTGATCAGTGCCGTACTAAATACAAAATTCCACTTTGGAGATGATAAATTTTATTTTTTAAAAGATTTATTTATGTATGCATACAAGAGCTGGGGAATAGGCTAGAGGTGTGGGGGGTGAGAAGATTCACTAGAGACAGAGTGGGGAACAGAACAGGTGGACTGACTGACATATACTGGTAAGGGGAGCAGTGAGAGAGACAGGAAAGATCTGCTGCGCCATGTGGGTCACCTCCCCGGCCGGGGATCAAACTCATGCTGCAGTGGCTGCAGATGGCTCAGCTCTGTAGTGCCGCATTTTAACCCCTTGCTCCACCAGGGAGGCCCTGAGATGATAAATTTAGATCCAAGTGGGAATATAGCAAATGGAAAACTGAAGTGGAGTTATAAAGTAAGCAGCTGGGTGTGCAAGTCTATAATTCAGAGTGTAAATCTAAGCTGGAGATATAAATTTGTCATTTATCAGGATAGAAAGCACTGAGTTTAGTTAAGAGCACAAGAATGTATCTTGATAGATAAGAATTCAAGGGGTGAACTCTGGGCTCTTCCATATTAAGGAGGCAGTGATACATGTGGGAATCAGCAAAAGAAATTGGAAAGGGGCAGTCAGTGAGGTAGGAAGAATCCAAGTAAGGAAATCATTTCATGTGGGAGGAGCAATCATCTGTGTCAAGAGAGAATTGACTGCTTGCAGCTGAGGATGGGTGCACCAGTGTTATAAAGCAATGGTGAGGAAAACCTTTTTAATCTTCTCCCCTTAACTTTAACCAAAAAGCAAAAGCTTTTGTAGAAATATCCTGTTCTCTTGTAAAAATACCCTGCTTATATCTGTAACACTTAGGAAGTAAGTTATTTTGCTTAGATTGCATTGAAATTCTGTTGATAGTCTTGGTTTAAAACGATTGTCCCTAAAACCATATGCTCAAAATATCCCCAGGCTTTTTAAAATCCTTACTGATGAAGAAATTATTCAATAAAAGGAAATTGTCTCAGCCACTGTGTTATTAGGAATGTGGTTTAGTGATATTCCAGGGAGAGACTGATTACTGTATGCCCAGATGGATAATTTTCTAGTTGGTACCATCATGCTGATAAAAATCAGTTTCTATGACTGTATGTGAACATTTGCCATTTGCCCTCTGGATACCAGTGCCTTGTGTGGGCTCAAAGGAAGCTAGCTATTGACACCATGGACATAAAAGAACCTTAAAATACCACAATCCAAAAAAGTGCATGAATCAAATTTCTTTCCAGAAGCATATTTTAGCAGCCTATGGGGGAGAGGGGGGCATATTAAAGCAGACACTGCTATTTTCTAGATGCTATGATAAAATAATTTGGAAAGTAAAAAACTGATTTATTGAGTTCTAGAATATTCTTTTACTTGTGTATTAGAAGTCCTACTTAGTTATGCTTGTGTTAATTAGAGCTGACTATTATGCCATGTATTTGTGAAATCACCTTTGGAATGGAGTGGAGGAGAAGGATGAAAGAATGCAAAAAAGAAAGGAGGGAATGAGGGAGAAAAGTAAAGGGGAAGGGAGAGAGAGACAGAGAGAGAGACACACGAGAGAGAGAGGGAGAGAGAGAGAAAAAAAACACTATGCATTTAAAGAGAGTTATGAAATATTGGGAAAAATTAGAAATAAAAGTCATGTATAAAGGCTTTTTTTGGGGGCAAAACACAAAGAGACAAAATGAGACTGAAAATGCAGTCTCTTCAATACTATAATGGAGAGTCTTGAATAGCAGAAGATAGGAAAGATTAGAAGATTCATCCAATGTGGCAGGGAAGACATAGACAGTGGCAGAACCTGGAACCTAGCTAGCTCTTCCAAACTCCAATTCGAGTAGTTCTGACAAGGCTACTCTGCATTCAGAACTACTTCTTTTAATGTTAAAGGATTTGGTTAAAAAAAATCTAATGAATGGTCTTCTTAAATAATGAATAAACAGTGATTATACATTCAGGAAATTTAATATGTGTTATATGACATATGCTAATATAGAAATACTTGCATATGTATTTCTTCATTTGACGTTTTTAAGACACTTTTCAATACCTGTTCTCATTCCTTCAACTCCATACTTATTCAAACTTACCCAAAGATTAATCCTGACACTAAATATATTTTAGTCTCAATGGCAAAGTCCCAACCCGCACAATATTCAGGATGTGCTGTTTATGTTGCAAATAGTATGTACTTGGAACAGCTGGGCAGACCTCACAGCATCTGGAGCAGGAATTAGCCTTCAGGTATACAGTGTCTAATAAAGATACCAAGGAAAGAAGTGTAAGCATTAACAGCTTTATGCATATATATGTATATATATATATATATATATATATATATATATATAACAATAAAGCTTAGCAAAATGGTTCAAATATATCCAGCGCTCTATTCTTGAGAATTTTCAAAATCAATCTTAAATGTTTCTGGATCGATAGGAATTAGTTTAAATTGTGCTTGTCTCAGGCAAAGAATGCTGTAAATCAATCTCCTCCTAAATGTACGTGAACAGCTTAAAATTACATCACATGCCCATGACCAACAAGTGTTGGATGCCAAATCTAAATAGAGTAGATCTAATTTTCACTAGATTGGAATATGTAATACAGAAATAGACTTTTAAAATGTCATGGGAAATAACTGCCTTGCTCCTAATGCCAATACGTTCCTTAAACACCCAATACAAACATCAGATAGACCAGGAATTCATATCATAGTGCAGATTTGATTCATCAGCATTAAAACAAATTATTATACACATTGTATAAAATGGTTATGGTTTAAAGGGATGATCAAGTATAGTCTTTAAAAATTGTACAAAAATCATATTCCCTATTTCATGGTTGTTGCTCACCAAGAGTGCAGCACAATATGGGTTTTTCATTCTTAAGAATTTTTAAAGTGTTGAGACTTGTTGAAGTTTTAATTATTGTTTTTAAACCTAAAGAACAAGTGACTCTCCTAAAGTAAAGTGTGGAGGTATCTGCATAAAAGAACAAAGTGATTTCCTAATTTCTGGTTAAATATAACCCTTTCATTTTTACTAATTACATTCATTATTTAATAACTTCATTCTAGAGGAATTTCAAGAAATAGAAAAAAATTTCAGGAATGCTGAAAGTACTCATCACCAGCTTTACTATGTATACCTATTACAACACACGGAAGGTCTATACTAGAATGCAACTATTAAATATTAACCCGAACTTTTTTTTATGAATCACAGAATCCGTATTGTTCTAAATCTGTGAATACCTGAAAAAGTTCCACCTTCATTGAATTATTCTAAAAAGAAGAAAAACAAAATAAATGAGAGAGCTGAGCAGTCACAAAATGTGAGAAAGGTTTTTAAGAAAATAAAAATAAATAATGAACTTATAAACATATCCGTTTAAAATATATTCAGGGGCCTCCCCTGCTGGTGCAGGCGGTTGAGCGCAGCACTGTGAAGCTGTCCCCAGCCTCTGCAGCACCGGTTCTTTCCCTGCCGGCCGGCGAGGGTCCCACATGGGGAAACAGACCTCTCCTGTCTTGCCCGCTGCTCCCCTCCACAGTGTATTTCGTATTTGCGTCTGCCTGTTCTGTTCCCTGCTCTGTCTCTGGTGAATCATCTCACCCTCCCGCGCATCTGGCCTGTACCCCGGTTCTTGTGTAAATAAATAAATAAATCTTCAAAAAAATAAAATGTATTCAGAAAACAGTAGCCTCTAGCCTACTTATATTTAGAAAACATTCAATCACATATACCAGGAACAGCCCCTCCCCAGCTCTGTTAACAAGGGCACACATTTGAAACAATCTACACTAATCCACTATTTTTCTGTTGAGTGTTGAACTGTCCCCAATATAAATCCCTTGTATGAATAAAAGGCAACTTAAAGACTGGACCTGTATTTTTAAGCCTGGGGCAAAGAAAGCTGAGTAGTTTATGTAGAAAAAAAAAAAAATGGCTTTTAAGGAAGGCTGCCAACCAGCAGTTGCTGTGGGGAACCACGCTGGGGTTAACTCAAAAGGGAATTAATTCATCTCCCTTATTTCAGCAAAGGGAAGTGACTTCTGCAGGGATGCTGGCTGTTTAAGATGCAGAGAAATCACTAGAAATGTCTGCCTGCAGCGATCTCAGGTGTGCTCACCTGCTGGGGCAGGGTAAGGGAGGGAGACCAGCAGGTTATGTGGAAGTCTGGAAATCGACTATTAATAATTGCTCTTGGGAGGTATTTTGATTTCCTCTAGGAAAGGAAGATAAAGAAGGGGCTCATATAGCTAGGGCGGGTGAAACCTTACAATATTTTCTATTTACTTCACCCTGACTCTTATTCTGCTTCATCATGCAATGAAGTTTCTTCCTCCCAATCTGTTTCGTTTAGGGCCAATATTGTTTTGTTTTGTTTTGTATTTGTTTGTTTTGTTCTCCTTGATTTCCTGGAAGACTGACGAATAGTCTAAAGAATGTGAGTGCCTGCTTTGAATTAAGCCCACTGAGTCAAATTACTGATTGCTAAGGCAGCGGTTAGGAACAAGCCAATTTGATTGAAGTTGGAAAGAGACTCTCATGTTTCCAAAGCAATGCTAGAAGCAAAGAGAACATAGCTTATTCCTAGGTTGCTTACATGAAGGCAGGGATAAATTGCTTGTTTGTATAACAACTTTTGAAAGTAGCAGATAGATTGCTTTTGGTGACTAAATATAGTTGTGAGAGGTTGAACAATTGGAGTCATTTCCATAATCAGCAATTGCTGCAGCTGAAATTAGAGAGAAAAGTAAGTGATAAATAAAGGGAAAACACGTCTGGCAGGAAGCATTATTCAATCACAAGTTATCCCAAATGGTTAAAAAATGTAGCTTATATTACACTCCTGTGAATTTATAACAACATGGAAGAAACTAGACCACTCAATTTCACAGTTCCAGGGGAAAATGAGGCTCTTTCGGGAACTTTTACTTTCCGAGCAATGTGTTTGTGATGCATTCCAGATGGACAAGCCTTGAAAAGTGACAGTATCCATCTATTTGTGAAAATGAACACAGAAAGAGTGAGAGTTTTCACATCCCTGTCTCCCTAAAACATATACACTGAAAACCACAAATGAATCTACTTAATCCAATTTGGGAGGACCGCTCAAGATGAAAAGCTTTATCAGTTATCATCAAAGCATCCAGTCAAATACTTCTTCCCTTGAATCTCTGAGTGGGCAAGGGGTGGGGGTCTGGGCGGTGGCAGGGTGGTTAATGAAATAAAATTAAAATAAAGCTAAAGACAACTCTTTGGATGAAGTTCTACAGCTGGCATTTTAATGCTGGGTGATGCAAGGCTGAAATACATCAACGATAATATGTTGTGAGTTCAATTGAAATATAAAAAGATCTTGACAAATTGGAAACATGATCTAAATCTAACAGAAGGACATTTAATGGAAATGAATGTTAGGATCTGAATTTGGTTTCTGAAAGGCATCAGTGTGGGATAGAGGAGATACTATTTAACAGGAGCTATTACAAGAAAATGTTTGTCCTTTGCTAATAAACTCCAGAAAGAAACAACAGTGTCACAGAAAAGCTAATGTGATGTGATTGCAAACCGACTAGAGAAACATATCAACTGAATAAAAGGAGGCAACAATTGACTCTACTGGATGAATCGCAGTCAAACTGGCACACCCATGCCCTCCTGTCACAATGTAAGGGGAGACCTCCAAGTCCTGCCACCCAAAGTCAATCCCTACTTTGGTGACTTGGATCCTACCACTTTTTATCATCCAAGCAACCTCCCTCCATGGTTAACTCTTTTCTCTGTGTAGTTAACTTTTGCGTCTGTTTTATTTATTTATTTATTTTTAAGATTTATTTATTTATTTATTCATTCATTCATTTATTTATTTATTTATTTATACAAGCACTGGGTACAGTCAGAAGTGCGGTAGGGTGAGAGAATTCACCCGAACCAGAGCGGGGAACAGAACAGGCAGACCGACGAAATACACTGCTGAGGGGAGCAGAGGGAGAGCCAGGAGAGGTCTGCGCGCCTGCAGCCGGGGATCGAACCAGCGCTGCAGAGGCTGCGGGCAGCTTCACAGCCCAGCGCTCAACTGCTGCACTACAAGGGGAGGCCTCATTTTATTTCTTTCAGCAGCATTTAGTCCTGCTGAAGTCTATCTCATAAAAATCCCTCATTACGCCCCCTGCATTAGCCCTGTGACCACCACCCTCATCTCCCTTTAGCTGTTCTTTAGTAATCTTTTCATAGTTGCTATCTTCTCTTCACCCCTCTCTCTGCCATCTTCACTCCACCAAAACTTGAATTCTTCTCTCACTGCTCTCCTGGGATGGCCCTTTATTAAAATCATCAAAGACTAAATATAGTCCTTCTCTTCCCTGACTGCTGGGCAGCATTAAATATGGTTTCTGCAATTAGTTTTCTTTGGGCTGGCTCCCTGTTCTGGTTCTTTTCCTCTGTTGTGAGCTGCTTTTTCACAATTTGATGTTTGTTGTTTTACTTTCAGCTTTATTTGTGAGTTTAGGAGGATCTTTTTCCTCTGCCCATTGTAGAAGTGTTGGTCTTCCTCAGGGTCCCTTCCCTCCTTTCATAGCATGTTTCTCCACAGGCAGATGGGGGAGAGAGGGGCGTTTTCTGGACGGAAATCAAAGGCACTAAGCTCTGCTAGGAGAGAGGCCCCCCTGCATAGCTTCACAGGGAATGCCCACCATGAAAGCAATGCTGAGGTATCATAAACAAAAGAACTCCCTCATCAGAGACCCATAACGGAACAATCAGCTGTCTTCCTGCAGCAATGGTTTCAACGTATTGATAACATTGGAGACTTTTAAGAAAATTCTGCCATAAGGAAGCATTTTTGAGCTTAAATACATGGCAGACTAGAGACCCCTGTGTCCCACAAATGCTAACCCCAGGCTCCATCAAGAGGGGTCCTGGAGTGAATCAGTATCACAATGCAGGGAAAAAAAAAAATTCCCAGAAATGCAAACTAAGCTGAAGAGAGATGGAAGAAATAGGACTGCTGGGTCACTGAGGAAAGGCTTAGGGGACTTGGGAGGGAGACCATTCCAGTCTTAGGTAGAAAGGTGGAACTCATTCCTTTTCTTCCTAATGACAATGGCCACCATCTTTTTTTTTAATAATAAATTTTATTTTTATATTCCCCATTCTGACCCCAATCCCCCCCCTCCCGCCCCCCACCTCCCCAAAAGTGTCTCTGGTTCATAGTTTTTTGTTGATTTTGATTTTCACTTTCTTATAGTTATTCATTTTCCTGGTCCCTTATTTAAGTTTTCTAGATTCCTGCTATGAGTGAGACCATCCAATATTAAGCCAAGAAATAGTTAAGTTTGTGTGACAGAATGAGACTTCTATTTCTCCCCCAACCCCCAAAGCTCTCCTCTCCTACTTCCTTAGAAACAGAATCTCTAACTCCTAGCTAGGTTCACAATGGTACATAAAAATGAGACTTTTTTCAGTCTCCCTTGAGGCTCAATGCAGCCATGTACTACAGGTGTGGATGTAACTAGAAGTAGTGGGCACAAAATTGTACTTATATTGAAATGCTTGCCCTTTTAAATCTCTTCCTCCTTATTAAGATGTTTTCTTACACAGGGAAACACTGAAAGGGTTATATAATAAACATCCACATACCCATCATCGATATTTATAATCATTTAACATACTGCTGTATTTGTTTTATGACATATCAATACTTTACCCATACCTATATTCAACTATTTATTTTTTTTAACCATTTCAAAGTTGCAGTCATAGGCAAATGCCATCCCTAAACTTATCTTGTTTTATATGTTTCCAACAATTTTATAAGGTAGGCATGTATTATAAATGAGTAAGCAGAAGGTCAAAAGTCCAAGTAACTTGTTTATGTCACACTGATAGTAATTGGGAGAACCCCTATTTGAACTTAGGCCTATTTTTCTTCAAAGTCCATGTTTCCAACCTATGAGTTTCCCATTCCATCAGTCCACCACCCTAACTCCCCTCTCAAGGGCCCCTAAGGATATCTGAGGTTTTGGAGGTATCACCTTTAACTTTATCCAAACTTGGTGAAAGGTGAATTTTAATCAGTTCAGTTCCCCAACTAAAAGAGAGAGGGACTCTGACCCATTTGGAAATAATTAACCTGCACTCTATATTCTGCCTTTGATTGTTTTTCTCTTATTTTGGTAGAAGAATAAAGAGGGCCAAGCAGGATGGGGAACCTCAATAGAGAAAAGAAATTACAGCTTTCATTTCTACTACAAATATTTCTCTGTGAGAATCGAACATTCTATTAAATAATGTATTCTTCTTCTTCTCTGATTAACTTGAGGGTAAGAAGAAATTCAGAATGCACAGCTCTACCTTTTTATTCCTGATTTTTTTTAACCTCATTCATTACTCTTAAGTAAGACCTATTTACCATACATCTGAAGACTGTTAAACAGTTAGGGGGTCACCCAACCGCCATTGATGGACAAAATTCCTGAAGTTATTTCTTTGAGTTTCATCATGACTGATTCACTCTCAGCCACCTTAATACCATGATTTGGAAGCTCCTAAAGCAATTGGTTTAGTAATTTATTGTGCAATCTGTGCCATGGACATAAAACTTTTAAAAGTAAAGCTCAGTTTCCAGTCTAAAAGAAATGTTTAAATCTGTTGGTAAAGACTATTCTCTATCAGCCTAGTTGCCAGTGGTCACTCGGCACTGAGGAGCCTCACATTTGGCACAACTGCCCCTCTGGATGTATAGGCAGGCAAAACCCAGAGATTACGACTTTATCATCTCCCGACTGAAACCAGAGTTCCATTTAACAAGCTGACAGGAGCAAGAGGACCACAAAATAACAAGCAGATACACAGTGTGGTATTTGTCAAAGATAAGGGGCTGAACCTGAGCTTAATGCTTCTTGACGGTTTGGACGCCATTCAAATCATCTACCCCAAATAATTTCTGTTCCATGAACTCTGTCTCTTATTTGGAGCTGCCATTCTGACACATGAGGTCTCATTTGATGGCACTCTTTTGAAGACACCAGAAATGCCATCAAAGTCAGTGCTGATTTCAGTCACATGTCTTATGTTTCCATATATGCACTTTACTGTAACTCTTAAGGGCTGGGCCAAATTTAATTCAACTTCATTGTTATACCTTCCTAAAGCTAAATTTACAAATTGCACACAAACATGCACACATGTTTGCAATAAAACTTTCCATGAAAACACATAGCCTCATTTCTTTATGGTTATAAAGCACAGAAAGAGATCTTAAAGCATAAAACTTTAATCCAATCATGTGTGTCTTGATGCCCATGTTATATAAAATAGGAAATTAAAAAAAAAACAGTGATATCTATTGCCGTTTTACATTTGGTCTTCTGAGAGTACATATATTTCTCTATCACATGCATACACAAATTAAATTTGAAAAGAAAAAATATTCTTTTTCCTGTTTTCTTCAAAATGCACAAAAGTAGCCAATACATGCAATATGGTATACATTAGGAAAATTAAATTTTGGATGAATCTGACAGTACAGATGAGTTAGACATATCATGCTAGCAAACACTGAAGAGAAGCTATGTTTTAAAAACTAAATATCATATAGCTATAGAGCAAGTAAATATCCTTTTGTTTTTATAGATAAATGACATAAAAATGAGATTTATACAGCTGTCAAGTCTCCAGTTAGTCTGAAACTCTTCAAATACTGAAATGTGTGACTGGGTCTCTAAT